GGGGGGGGGGGGGGGTTGATGGTTAGTCATCAAGGTCAGCTGTCACCTACGCGATGCCATCTCCTAATTGGTTGGTTAAAATTTCGGGGCATATTTGCGTTGCTATTGGTTAAAATCGGCGTAAGGTCAATTTTGACTAAACCACACATAGACCACCTTCAAATCAACACGAGGGCTGATGGACTTAGAGAGTTGCCGCATTCCGTGGAGCTAGGTGGGAAATGGAGACGCCTTCAAGCCCTCTGATTGATGTGGTAGTGTCTCAAATTTGACCTGGAGTTCCCCGTGATTCGATGGACAACTTACCGCGACGAAACGCGTGTCGACAGCGAAGAAGACGAAGCGAAGCAGTTCACGCAGAAGCCGAACGACGAAGGGATCGGTGAGGTAGTTCAGCTGTGCGATCCCCGTGACAAACTGCAAAGGCACAAGAAGAAGAGGAAGAAGGCAGCGTGAGGGCCCGCTCAAACCCGACTGTCCTCCACTGTTACTACGACGACGTACCGCCAAGAGGTTCTCCGCGAGACCGGCTTTGATCGCCTCGTGCACGGGAGAGTTCTCTTTGCATAGTTGTCGCCGAGGCGGCAACATGATCTGTGAGAAGAGCTGGTGGAAGGGTCCATCCGTCGCGTACAGTAGAACAGCAGCGGTCTGGAAGAGTGCGGCGGTTGCGCGGTACGTCGAGGTGAGCTCGAGTGTGCTGACGCTCCGTTCATCACTGAGGCGGCACAGGAGTTGTGCCAAGGGCGAGAGGTGACGAAGCACAACCGCCTTGAACTGCATTCTACACTGGAAGGTCTACAAATCAAGCGATTGGTTGGATAGGGGACGTTGGAAGTGGAGTGGGGAAACACGCACGCACGCACGCACCTCACAGGCTTCAAACCGCTCAGACAGACGCATGAGGGATATCTCAGGGTCGCCTGATGCCAGGAGGTCAGACATGTCGTCGGGAAAGAACTGACGTATCACGGATTCAGCAGTAGTCAGCGAAGTGGCAGCGTGTCCACAGTCGTCGTACAACACCAGACGGTACGTCAGCCAGATGGTGTAGACTTGCCAGGCGTCGTCGACGTCCAGCCTGCCTGACACCGACATCGCGTGCAAGGCAGACTTCAGGAAATCGGCGTCAGCAAACAGCCGCTTGAGGAATCCACGCCGGAATCTGGGCAAATGGAAAACAAGCCGAGGTAAAGTGGGAGGTGGAAGAGGCGCGCGGAGAGACGAGTGCACGGCATCTTCAGACTGCACTCACGAAGATGGTAGGTCGGGGGTGAACGTGAAACGCGCCAGAAGGTCTTGCGTGGTCACTGGAGCACTTCTTCCACCGGTGTCGATTGAGAGAGTTAGGAAGTGGAGTGCGACGCCAACACAGTCCTCCCACCACAGTGCAACTGTGCAACCGCGCGACACGAAAATGGGAAGGACCTCGTTCCAGATGAGGGCTTAGTGCGGAGAATAGGGGGGGAGGTCAAATCTGATTGGTCGAGAAGGCAGCCAATAGGCTGCGAGGTTCACGACCTTTGAATACACAAGCTTTTACACAGGCAAGAAAACACACATACCTGTGAGAGGCTTGTAACGAGGGTCATTTTTCAGGCTAAAAAAGCACAAAAAAATACATTTCTCAAGCATCGATTATTTCGAGCGCCTTTGTCAAATACTATAGAGAAACCCCTTCAAAAAACACAACCAAAAATGTCAGTGAAAACGAACGGAGGGCGTTAATAATGTGGATTCAACGCGACACACGTACGTGCGTGCAGTAGACACGGTGTGTCTCAACAAATATCAAATAGTTTGCAAAAGAATCGATTTCATATAAGCAAAAAAAACCGGTAAGTTCTAAATGTGGTATCCGACAGAAAGGCATCTATTCAACCATCTCAGACGTTTGTTACATTCACTTAAGTTGTGCTACTTTATTAGTATAAGTAGTAATGGTTTTAAATAGTTGGTTTTTGTGCGCTAGTACGCAGATAGCTTAGGGAGTATCGTATTGGAGAGAGAAAAGAGGAAATTAGACAAACCCAACACGAGCTCTCTTAGTAACCTTGGCATCCGCAGGAGGCGGGAAACGAAGCCCAACCACTCACGATTTTCTGTGGTGCAGAGCGCGTCGATTAGAACGCCATCTAAAAAGGTAGAGTGAAGATGGTCACAGGAGCACAAAAAATGTTCGTAAAATAGCACAATTGGCCCTCATCTTTGAGCCAAAATTAGGAGTTACCAAGCACACGTAAGAGCATTCCCGGCTGCTCATTGGCTGAAGCGTCCTCCTTCGTAAGTAGCGCCTCGCAAAATGATAGGCTCAGCGAGTAGAGCTCGCCTCGCCAGCCAATGACAGCGAGATTGTTGACTGCGCCAGTTCCCGGTGCTGCCTTCACGTTTCTATGAAAGCGAAATAACCGTACAAATCGAATTAAACGCGGAAAAAGCCCAACAGGATAGCGGACGCACTGAACTAGCGTCTGGCGAAATTGACTGGTGAGCTGCAGGAGTTGGGTCAGAGAGGATTCCAGGCCGCCAGGTGCGCCGACAACTGGAAGGTTCGCGTCCAACACCACCACGAGACTTTGGAGACCTCGAAGTGCCGAGCACTGACGTCCAGTCTCCCAATCTGCACACCATCGCATCTGGGCTGCATCCACTCCACCAAACAGGGAAGTCACAAACTCGATCTAGTGATTTTTGTGCAAAATATTCAACGATTATATAAACACTACTTTATCGATATAAGTAGTGATGTGTTACTGACCTTGTGGGTCCGTGACAAAACAATGATTCTACTTTAGTCGCGTGAGTAGTAACGTGCTTATAACATTTAAGACTTAAATTAGCAATATTTAATGTATTAGCGAAAGGTAAGAGTTAAAAATAACGATTTCAGTAAGGTAGCGGTCTCAAATGCTTGACCTTCAGTGGACCAATAGTAATGACCGCAGAACGTCAAGGTTACCACTGGCAAATGTGATTGGCTAAGCAATTTGTCAAATGTGGCAGATCCTTACCAAAGTTGCGACGTCAAAAACGACCTTCTGAGAACGTTTCAACACGGTGTCAAGCAAGTGTTCGAGGAGTGAGAAGTAATTGGTCACACCTTGTCGCGTTAGTGATGGCAGGGCAGTTCGAATTCTACAATTTATCCGACCATATTTTTTTCATCGCTCACAACTACTGTGCAAAAATAAGTAGAACATGCCATACGACTTTTGGCAAGGAAAACAATACATGGGGATTCAAATGCTTCACCCGCCTACAAGGCTGTTATTAAATGGTGAACGACTATCAGTCACGCATCGATTATTGATCAAGTTACCGCAAAATCTGTTTCTTAGTTTATCAAATAGAATCCAACCCTCAAACCCTGTTTTACTGATTTCGGTCAAGACTCACACTGTTAGCGCAAGTGACAATGTATGCCGTAGATGACCTTGACATCGCACTTAAATGAAAATGCGCCAATAGAATGGCGGTGGTTGATTAAAATGATAACATTAGCATTCGACTTACATACTCAGAACCTCTGATGGCTGGGCTAAAAAGCTCTCCACGGTAATTTGAGCGAAGAGCAGGAAAGGGGGAAGCCTATAAGAACAAAAGACGATCAAGTCTTACAAGTTTAAATGATGCAAAACGACGTTTAAAAAAATCGCAGCCACCTTCACCAATCCTGATTGGTTAAATGTGTCAAGGTCACAGACGTAAACCGAGAATATGCAGCCAATGAAAACGCTGAACAGACAAAGGGCATCTAGGCATGCGTCTAGCCAACCAGCGCTCTCCATGGCTGCGGAGTTCTCATTTTGATTGGAGTAAAGTCAACGCAATCAGGAGGCGCATTGATTATAACCAGCGGCGTTTAAATAAACTGACAAGAGCATTCAATACCCACCCTGCACTTTGATCGTCCCGGTTAAAAGTGACTTCCGTAATCGAATCCTAAGAACACACAAAGAAAGAAAAACGATTATTGGTGTGTCCGAAACAACAGATATTTTACGAACAGCTGCACATTAAAAAGATTACTAATATCGTCCGCAAACGTCATAAGTTCGAACACTACCAACGAAGCCCTCGTTAATCAATACTATAAGTGATTATGTAAAAAACGTGCTACTTATGTGAGTTTTAGTAAAATGAAAAAATCCGTCGTTGTAACAGAGCAAAGGACATATTAGGATTACAAGCTTCCTGCTGAAATACAACCACAGAGGCCGAACAACTTCGACACTGGGGCCCCAGAGCTTCTGCAATTCGAGAAGCGAGCGTAGCGCATAGCGAGACGATTCTTCGTTTGGACCAGAGTCCTACAAGGGAAAAAGAGGTAAATCCTACTACCATTGGATGATTTGTATCGGCCAATGAGGTGGCTCCTTGTGAGTTATAAGCCAATCAACAGTCAGCAAAGCAACCACACGAGACTGGATTCGTACCGCAAGGAATTGATTACGAATGATCCAAACGGCGGTAGAATACTTAAGCGTTGAGTTCGTGATGGGCGGCTAAAATAAAAAGGCAGATAGGACAACATGATTGGATGATTCTGGCCAATCGAGGTGAAGCAACTGACCAATCAAAATGAAGTAGACCCACAAAAGGCCAAAATTGATAACTCACATTTGCCGGACCAATGAGAGAGGAGAACGCAGAGCACAAGGGAGCTGTCACGGTTAGAACTGACCAATAGACGTGCCAGAGCTTCTCCAAATCCACGAAGCCGGCTTGATTGACGATGTGTACCGTTGGTCTGAGACCATCGAGGCAGCCTACAGGAAAAAATGAACTTTGGGATACTTCGTTCTGGTTTCGCGTTGGTGTGGCAATCAAATTAACTGATCGCTAATTGATCCACAATTTTCAATTCAAGATGTGTTTGCTGACTGTTACTACCGAATCAGAATTGCGTAACTATTTCGCGGGATTCGTCAATGAAACTAGACCATGAGGTAACCAATAAAAAACCGCCAGAGTTGGCCAATCACATAGCATGGCTTCACATGCTTGCACATGATTGGCTAAGAGACACCAAGGGAATAGAGTAGATTCCGCAGTTTCGATGGTAAAATTAAAGAAGAATGAGATAAATCACACCAGATTGACCTGAAATGGCCTCCCGAGGAACAGAGAAGTGACCTCACCTTTGAGGATCCGACGTCTCCCCGATTTAATTTGAATAATTCTCCCGTGAAGGTGCTTAAACCAACTGGTTGACACCTAATAGGCGTGATTAAAGAGAGGCTCGCAGGCAAGTAACGATACCTTTTCGCCGTGTCTAATGAGAAGTATCCACATGATTGCATAGCATTGGCAAAACGAGGAGGTGATTGACTGCAATAAAGCGGTGGGATTACCATGAACACGAACCTACCATCTTGTCGCAGGCGAGAATGTCGAACAGCACTTCAATGAAGTACTCCAGTGGGTTGGCGTCGAAGGGCTCCAGTTCTAGCGCCTCTTTGATGCCCTTTTCAAAGCCTAAATGTCATTTTTGAATGCGCTTAATAGAAAGAAGGCGAACCTGGTTTGGGGGACTCGAGTAATTTGAAAAACATCGCCCAGATATCTAATTGGATGTGTGACAGCGGAAGCTGATTGGTCTAAAAGGCAACCAATCAAGAAGGGGAGGTCGAACCACACAAGTAGACGTCATGGCCTTTATGCCCTTGATTAGGTAGACAAACCGCCTTGTAAAATCAAACACTTGGGATGATCCAAGCTGACTGAAGCAACACAGTGACCGGTAGATAAAGCTCTTACTCGTAGGACGCAAAAATATCCAATAGTAATCGACTGATATTTGACCTGGTTGCTAAGAGACAAGAAGAGTAAGCGAGAGTATATGAATCTCACCTTTGACATCACCTGAGGAGAAATTCAAACGTGACATCATGCCCCTAAAACAATTGGGTGAAGTGTCAATATGTCCATGGCATACCAGAGCAGTGAGAAATTCTCTGGAAAAGCGATTTGGCTTTTGGGAATGGCGGGATTCAGAAAGATTCTGATAATAATGAAAAAAATAAGGAAATACCCACTTAAAGGCACGACCAAGCACCTCGTTGGTAAAACAACTTGAAACTCGCTCGGTGGTTTCACTAAAATCTGAAAAAAATGCAAAACTGTAAATATATCATAAGTGCAATCGATTAGGTGATTACATGATGCTACAAACAAAATATGCCCTTTATGAATTGTGATGCTGACAGCAGTTATTGCAAATTACTCAACATAGTTGGATCATGAAGGGCTATAACGACACACCGACGAATGTGGGCACAACAGTACAACACTAATTCAACGCATTCAGCAGGAAAGAAATAAAGTTTCTAAAATCAAGTATCATCTTAATAATAAGCAAAAAAATCACACTATTAGACGTCTTCAAGGGCAACCCATGCAATTCATCATATAGATATCAAAAAAACATGGTAACAGGTTGGAACGCCTGAAATATCAGTCCCAATTGCTACAGACCAGCCATACACTGTAAAATCATTAACTTTAATTGTACAGTACGTCTACTGTTCACAAGAGCATTTACAAATCAGTAGATTTGAGCCACATATATTTAAAATTCCGAATTAACCAACTTGTTGCGTCAGCTAATATTGTCAACAAATAAATTAAAACCCACTCATTTAGGCAAAAAGATTGCACCACAATGCATAATGCGACTGCCACTGATGTTCGCCCGTATTGAGGTTAAATTAGGAGAATTTGAAACTAATCAACGTACCATCAAAGCCCCAAAAGTCCTCTGACACATTTTCGAAGACAACAGTCTCACTAGGAGTATCAAACTTCGGTGACTGGGGAGGAGTAAGGGTTGTGAAACCACTCATTATAACCTGCAAGCACGAAGCGACACCCAACTGCGAAGCCAATCAAAAGTGGGCCTAAGACCTACACTTGAAAATTGTAATTATCAGGATAATAAAACAAACATGAACATTAAAGCATTTTTAACAATGCAACCACTGTTTAAAACATAACTAAGATCTAAAGGTAAAATCAACTTATACGCTTATACAATTCACAGGATTTATGACCAATATCCCTTCATGGTGAGAAAAATGAGGGCATGACAAAACCTCGAAAATTACTGCCCAATTTTCCTACACGAGGGCCCATTATTTCAATATAAATACGGCAAAAAATACTTTTTGATAATTTCAGGTAAAAATTGTATTTAAAATCTTGAAAATTTGAAGACATTTGAACATTTGCCTTATACTCCTACCTTGGAGAAAATTTCGTATCACTAAACCTTGTTGAGTTGTGGAGATGTGGGCGGAAGATGTGACAAAACTGGTTTTAAAAAATATCATTTTGACCCAGCACTTTTGCTCCTATCCGAATTGGTAAACTAAATGAAAATAAATGGGCTAAACCTTCAAGTGAGACAAAAAGGATGTTACTAGAAGACCGTTTGGAATTCGTACTAAGTAGGGTAAATGAACACAATAGATATTTGCCTAAGAAACGGATTTCGTGTAATTTCAGTTGGTATCCACTATATGACTTTACATGTTCAGTGTGTCCATTTTTGGCCTTAAAAATGAAAGTTTTTAAAAGTATAATGTTTTGCAAAATACAATCGGAATTGGTTTTTGAGCTTTAATGTGTTTAATTAATTTTTTGTGGTTGTTTTTTGTTGCGCGAAAATGATATTTTGCTCACCTACTTATCAAAACGAAATTATCGGCGTTTGGACTGTGACTACAAGTAAATTCCTTATGTGCCTGGAAATGTGTTGACAGAGCTAATAAATTAAATTATTTTTTCCAAATCATCTTGAATAATTTTGATCCTGAAATTTAGTAATAAAAAAAGTCTAGTGAATATCCCCAATATCCAAAGCAATGGTACCTATAAATGCAAAGAACGGGATTTTGGTTAGGTTCGATTTTGTCTTCTGTTTCAAACAAGAAAATTCGATGAAAGTATTAAACATTCTCAATTTTTTTTGAAACCCACTTGAAAACATATGTTTACAAATTTGATATGCAAACATAGACGTCTGCTAGCTTAAGTAATGCCTACACGTTTATCACGAAGGTTTTTGTTAAAAAACTAAAGTGTGGCTGGAATCTCTACGGAAGAGGATGCTATTATTTTTGTTCTGAAAAATTTGTGATTTATTGTTGATGAATTTAGTAAATATATCAAGTAACAATTAGTAAAAACATGATTTCACTCCTAAATAGCTAATGGGAAGGAGCAAATGCTTCATTCACGGTGTATTGCGTTGAACTAGTTCAAATTCTAACAAATTGGATTAGTATTTGGTAGATGAGGGGGTTGGAAAACAGGTACTGTGATTCTTAGGACTCAGACATCATCCTGAATTTAAATGTCGTTAGCTGAAATTTTGAAAAAATAAACCAAATTTAAAAAAAGACAGCACGAAATTTTCATTTATGCTAGCGTAAATAAATGCGTTTGGCTCAATTCGAGAACGCTCAGCAACGGTGAATTTAAAAATGTCTTCTGAATATTTAGCACCCATACATCTGATTGGTTCGTGGTTTTTGAGGCCTAGAATACAAGTACATCAGTTCAATCTTTTTGACAAAAAACGAGTTAGAACTGTTGGTTAGGCGCCATCCATATGAATCCACCATCTCATTAATCAGTGTATTTATTTGGTTTTAAACTTTTCTCATCGACCAATCAAATTTACAGAAACACAGACCACCCTGAGCTCTGGTTTAGGCTGATTGGTTCAGATTTACCAGTTTTAAAAATATGTAATAGTGATTTAAATAAAATGACAAGAAATCATGGAAATGGCCTGATGAATTAAGATGTGGTGTGGAGTTAGACAAAAAAGTTTAAAACTGTGCTAACTTGTGTGTCCAATTATCCATGCGAGTGGGTGTGTGTGAGTAAGCATGTACTTATATGGATATGCAAACAAAGATTTTGCCCCATTATCGTCAAACCAATGCACCTAACAAAGGTGCTTTTTAAATGCTAAAAAATCCAGCATGTCAGGTGATCGATTGAACTCTGCATCTGAGCGTTCAGTTCGCACTGGTACACGGGGGGGCGGATATTGGATACTGCCGTGGCATTTTATAAGTATCATCCACGCGTGGTAAAGTGATGGTAACAGCGAGTTGATTGGTTCCCAAGGGCAGCAACGGAAGTGATTGACCGAGCGTGGCGTGTCTAACTCGAAACTGAACGAAACGCCACAGGAACTAGGCCCAGACGTGTCTTATTAACCCCCTCTGGTTAGGTGTGGGTGCCTCAATTGTAATTATGATTGATTGGCGAATCGTGGGTGCTATCTGCACTCTCTCATTCGTGTGTGTGTGCGTGTGGGTTTGCGTTGGTGCGTCTAGCCTACCTATGCCATCTGCGTGGCAGGCAACATTCTCATTGGAAACCTAGTCAAAACTCTGAACCTTGCTGTAAAAACACATGCCGAATTTGTGAGTAAAGTGTGGTTGACACGGTTTACAGTGCTTGTGAACGAATGCAAATGTAGCGGCGATGACAGTGTAGCAAGAGACCACGCGATCTAAGTAAGATTAACTGTTTTTGCGTTCGGTATTGCAGACTGCCTTTCATGTGGCTTGCTTTTTTGACTTGAGTTGGTTTGAGGCATGCCTTGACTCGTTCAAAATAAAACGGGTGATCAGTGGATCGGCTTGCAAATCGATTTGCAGATTATTGGGGTCAATTTCGTGAGTTTTCCACGAAACGGTGGCTTTGGAGGTGCAGACATCAGGTATGCTGACCTAATTTGGATTTAAACTTATGACCGATTATAGTCACATGACAGTAAGCTTGTAATCCTGATTTTGAAAAACGGGTCAATCCGAAAAATCTCTCTCTTGTGTTGAAATGGTTAAAATTGATTAACGCAGAATGCCTGCATGTGGAGACAGTATGGAGGGTAACTGAGACCTAAAAACTTTACGCGATAGCGTTCCTTCCTTAAATCACCAAATCCTGTGATCTGGTCACTTCGTTACCTGGATATTTTTCCTATTTGAGGGAATTTCAGTCTGGCTTGTACTGTTTTATCACGCTTGCATCCTGTCCGCTTTTGAATGGTCACTTGGGACTATCCACCTTAAATATAAAGTATTGCGCGGGACTCTAAGAGCGCCCTCCCACAAGCTGACTTACAGACTCCAAAGGATTTCAAAATCACTGAGCGTTGAGGCTTGTTATTTGAGTTGGATAAAATTGGCGTGCGTTTTGAAATATTTACAGTCACTTCCATACGGTTTGCATGGGATAAATCATGAAAGCACTCTGCAAAACTTGACAAAATTATTGTTTTTGTCACTCTAGCGTCGTTAGTTTAATGTGAACAACACTGGTTTGACTATGCTAAAAAAACAAGACGTCTTGATAAATGTATGTGGATTTGCAAAAACATGGATCTGCCCGACTGCGTTTATTCTCAATTGGAACTCAGGATTACTTAGACACACTCTCTCTCTACCTCTGCAAATAAACGTTGTTCGATGCAAAACTTAAGACCAAGAGGAGTTATATGTGTCATTCTCATTTACTTTACTTTACATTATCAATTCTGATAGTTTTTGCCTGGTACAATTTCGGCGCATATGCTGTCAGTAGTGAGTGAGCAAACCTAGCTTTTAGCCAAGTAGTAGGCTCTAGTGCTCAAGAATAAAACCTATTGCAGCGTGTAGAAACTTGTCTCTGCTGTCGGAATCCATTTTTATATGCCTCAAGTTTTTTAAAAAATCCGTTGCGAAATACTCTAAAACATCAACTTCGGATGATTCAATATGCAGACATAAGCATGTTCTAGATTTGTTCAATGCTCTTTGTTTTCTAAAGATGCAGTATTTGGCATGTATCCAAACACAAAAGCGCATGAACCACATTTCCGACTTGCAACAGGGAACCCCGCTTGCTGAAATTTATGTTACATTGGCATTGACAAAAGCCACAGAACGTGGTGAATTGAAGTAAATTATATACTTTTTCAATACCTTTCGACAAACTTATTTAGATGCTTTAGTGTACCCAACAGAAAATGTACAAGTTGCATAGGAAGAGACGCTTTTGTATTCAAATAACCAAACACTATCAAATATGCGGAAAATATAAATGCAAATACAGGGCCTGAGATACAGCATGAAAGCATAGTTGGATCCAACTTAATAGCACAAAAAGGTAAAGTCACGTGTGTGGGTTTTCGGAATTATCCAGTCGAAGATTTTCAGACTGTGATGAAGTGTTTTGAGCAAATTGTTCATCCGACGGGACTTCGCCAATTGTCATTTCATCTATGCCATAGCAAATGTTTTCATCGGGTTCTTCAATGATGGCTTCAAGTACATTAAAGTTATGGACAATTTTGAAAGCATAATGCGTACGCAAAGGCGGATGACTTCGTTGGACGGGGAGAGGTCTTGATGAACGAACGTTTGCCGCCGTATTAGGTCTGGACACAATCTTGTGCGGACGACCGCGTCTCTTCTCATGTGTCAGTGCTCGAATATACTTTCTCAGGCGTACAAATACTTCAAAAAGTATATTTTCCTTAGGTTTTACATCCGTGCACGAATCATCACCTGACTCGTGTCTACGCCGTTCCATTTGTCCATTCAGAGGAGTTTTGGCACGGCTTCTCTGAGAAATCTTCGAATACGATGGAACCGGTAGGTACATCGGTTTTATTTTAACAGATGAAGATCTTTTAGAATCGGACACAAACGGCATATGACCATCAGGTGCGACATGAATCATTGTAGCAGGATTGCAAATAATTCAAACAGCCTCAGCTACTGCTTTTATATGTGGTTGAGTTATTAAAACAACATTGTCCTTAAAAATGCAATGCTTTTGATTTACACTATGTATGCATATTTTACTTAATTAAAACAGTCAATTTTAATTTTTAATTGTAAAGCAATATTAAATGATTGTTTTAGCATTCATTACTATATTCCGATTAAGAAATTGTCAAGTGGGATTGCCGTCCAGCTATACTTATAAAAAAAGCAGCAGTTATTTAACAGCATTTTAAATCTTACCAAAAAATATGGAAATGCACATCACTCAGGTTTTAAAATATTTCGTGTCTTGACCATGCATAATTATTATTTCATTTGCTTTACCAATACTAAGTTCTTCAATTTCGTTCATTCCGACGTCAGCCATTACTCTCGAACTAAATATGCATTTTCACTGTCTAAACTGACAATTAACTGCCATGGCCACAAATTCGACAATTATATCCTTATCTTCCCCTGCTTGTGGCCGTACATATTTGTATCGTGCCTGGACGCAACTTTCTTTTTTTCAACTCAAATTTCGCGTGTGTATTCCTCAATTTGCATAGTTGCGATACAGTGCGTCACCCAGGTTCAGATAGTAATATTAAAGCAAATACTTCGCAATTAGTTTCATTTGGGTGACAAATACAATAATGTGACTCTATCATACTAGTAACTTATATTCATCGTGGTAATATTAATCAGAAGCTTATGTAAATCTGTTACAAGTCTTTGTCGAGAATACGTACCCAAAATCTATAATTTCGCTACACGGAACAACGTTAGGGTAATATTTCAAAATTCAATGGAAATAGATTAAACAGGAATGCTTTATCGATACACATCAACTATCTGTGCATTTAAATAGCAAATGTTCGAAAATTCACTTTATAAACTACGACGATGACCTTGTTTGAAGACTGCACGAAACAATTTTCCTAAATTGTTTAGTTACCGGCGCGATAACACATTAGTGATCATTAATTTGTGATATATGGCTGACCTAAAGGCTTCCTTTCTGGCCTTTTGTGACTTTGCGAAGAAAGGTTCAACTACTTGTAACGATAAGACACTCAAAAAGATATGCACTGACTGCAAATTATACTCCAAAGGCATGGATCAGAATCGTGTGGATATTCAATTTAGAAAACATATTGGCAATGCAAAGAAGGACGTTGACTACGCTGGTTTTGTAAGCTTTATTGAGGGCGGATTTTCGGATGCCTATGCAGAGGCAAAGAAAATTAGTAAAGAAGCAGCTATCAAAGAGCTGAAGGATAAAATTGCTGCGGGCAATCCTAGTACCAGTAATGCTACACAGGTTAGCAAAGATGCCGCTACTGAAAGGCTAACAGACGTCAAAAAATATACAGGTGCTCATAAAGCACGATTTGATATGGAAACGGGAAAGGGCAAAGGCATTGCTGGGAGAGAAGACATAGTAGACGACTCGGGATATGTTCAAGGTTATAAAAACAAAGACACATACGACAAAACCCACTAGTCATTGTCATATGTCATCAATTTTACCCACTTTTGTGCTAAATTACTTTTGGATAGTGCTACACTCTTGGTTTTATTATTGCTAAGGTTTCAGATTCCCCCATTTTTTTAAAATTTACTGTAAATTGTTCGAACAGCTCATTTCTCTCAGTTCTTGATTCGTTACAATAATTCATATTCTCTTATTTGTTAAATGAAAAGCAAAAATGTAGTTGATTTTGTCTGATATGTGTTTTATGCTACTAAGGGAGATTTTGTTGTCAGATTCCTATTCCATTTTACTGTAAACTCCAAATCACGTGTAAACAAGCAAACATCCGTGGAAACTATTCACCGTTCACACTTTTCTATCGGTTATAAAGTAAGAAGCCCTCAAATTGGATGGGTTCAATGATTAACTTTTCTTTTAGTTAAATAAGGGTCAGAATCGACTGGAAATGCATTTGGCGTATTTGAGGAATTAAGAACAATAAAACGTTTCTACAGTCCGATGACATTCTCCAAAATCAGCAATGCTTTTGAGCTCTGTTGAATGAGGTAACACTTTAATTACCGCAGATAAAGGAGACGACAAAATATTAGATTGCTTAGCACAGCCTTTTTCGTGTCCGTATGTTTCAGATACATTTTTATAAATTGCAGCAAAATATTTAACCGGATTTTGATGGCATGTGAGTTTCAAGTAGCTGTTGGAATGGGTGTTACATCGTTGGAAACACCAGCTGGTAGCCATCGATATGTAATTTCTTTTATCTTCCTTACTTGTGTGTTCGTTACTTCGGTGTCGTTACTCGTGCACAACATTAGTACAAATCAATTTCGAAAGTCAAAATATTCAACCGACAGATGTTGATCCACTGACATGACTTAGATAAAAGTCATGTGTGTGGTTTGTACATTTTTGTTTAGCCAAAATTTTTTTTGTTCAATGGTACATTTGTTTTTTAAGGTCTTACCACTGTCATCTGATTAATGTAGATTACGATTTGTGCAAACTAATCACCTACAAAGCAGTGACTTAAAAACATCAGGTTGTGCTCGAATGAACTTTGCAGCTAATACGTGAGGACAAAGGTGTGAGACACGACACCGACAGCTGACAATGCGATCATGATTGTATTTCAGATTTTTCTGCATTTAGTTGTAGGTAAATTTGACAAAACAGCGTAAATATCCACCGCAATAAATTAAGACTTTTTAACGATAATCCGTGGCCTAATGTGAAACCCTAATCCTGAAGCATACGCAAGGGACTATCACCGCCGACAAATAGCAAAGGCTGTTTTCAGTTTCAGCTCTGATATAACACCTACCGCATAAGCAGAGCAACTGCCAAGTTCTTAACTCGAACGACGTGCTCTGGCCACTGAAACGCAGTGATTAGCAGTCTAAGCCGATTACGACTTGTTCACGTTAACCTCTAAAACCATGACGCAGGCATCGGTCAAATGAGTTTAACTGACTGGATAGGCGTGAACCACGAAACCGATGGCTGACGGTTCAATCCGATTATATTTTTGCCTTTCCAGCATTAACTCGTTCCAGGTTAGATAAGGCAACCCAAATTCGTAATTCATTATTACTCCTTTCGCTGAATCAACACCAACATAAAACCGTACCGTAGAGCCCACGCTTTAAACCCTGTACCGACATCTACTTTGATAGCCTCGGTCGAGGCAACTATTTCAACACCGTCAGAAACAAACAGGTAAGTACAGAAGACGCCTCTCAGACACTCCTGTTCCCCAGTCCTACCTTCTCCCACTATTCAACAATCTCTCTCTTCTATTCACAAAACAGCCATCTTCTATCCGACTTAACTGACACAGCTAGATCCACCACAACCACAGGCCTTTCACAACAATGCAGAAAAGTTGGAACACGTTTATTAGGACAAAATCAAAGCGGCTTCGATAGCGTTCGATAGACAGGGCCGTTAAATGAACATAAATGATGGGTGCCCACGACCGTGCCAGGGGAGGGGCCTTCTGTGGGCCAAAGACCCCATCTTCATTGTGAATAGTAAAATCAAAGATTTGATCCAAAGGGTAATAAAATGCAGATGTATGCAGAGTACAAAAGTATCAAATTCTAAACGTAAATTGTATGTTCCATGTGTTGTGGATAGATGAGCAAGCCAAACTGAACCAGACGGAGGAAATGCAACAAGGGGCTCTACTACAAGCATTGAGTACATACCAATCATGGAAATCCATAATTCCTTTTCTCCAGAAAATAAAAAACCAGAAATTAAAAAAAATTAATCACGAGGGTGGAAGACAACCTCAGAAACAAACAGGTACGGCAGTTGCACAGCGGAAGAGGATAGAGGATATAGTATGCAGTCAAGGTACAAATCAGCTGGTACAACCAAAGAACATGGAAAAAAAGATGGCCAAGTGTTACATTAGTGACAGCGCTTAGTAAACGATAGCGTCGTCCCAAAGAGAGAAAGTACAGAGCCAAGTCAGGCATAAATGCAGGCTTTAGAGCAGCGTAAAATAGTGTACAAGTAAGATACGTAATAGGTAAAGTAAAGCAAACAAAACTACTCTGAATTTAGGTAGACACGGAAATGCGTGTTTAGCCGCGCATCGAAGAATCGGAAGAGCGTGTGTCCGCGTTGTCCGCCCTGACGACGTCCAGGTTGCTGCTGGGTGAAGCGCCGGACTCAGGGCTTGACGTGGGCATCTCCGCGGTGTCCTCCTGTTCCAAGTCGGCCAGAAGGGAGTCGGGCACAAACATGTGGTGCGGCGGTCGCGGACCATACGCCGATAACCTGGTGGTGTTGGAGGCGGAATTCACACAGACGACTTTTTCCAACTCGTTCAACGCCTGAAGGCTGATGTTACGTCCGCCGGTGACAATAATGCATATGGTAGCGGGGCGAGGTATGACGCCCTCTTGCTGTAGTCTAGCGACTGCACCAGAATACACAGCAGACAATGCCACTCCGCACGCGGGCTCAACCAGAAACCCATGGTCATCTAAAATGTGAACAAGATCGGGACAATGCGCAAGTGAAGACGCATTCAAAAACGCAGACTCTCAACAGGCGGTAAATTCAAAGAAAATTACCCAAGAAACGGCGTGTAGCTTGCAGGGCCTCTTCGTCCGTGCAGGTCAGAGGAGTCACTGCATAGCACTGTATCAAGCTCCAGACTCTAGATGATAACGAGGGCAAGGGGAGGTTGGAAACGACGCTAGTGCACTTTGGAATCACCACAGGGTGGCCGGCAGCCACCGATCGGGCCAAGCAATCGGCACCAACCGATTCCACGGTAATCAAATGCGTTCCAGACCAACCACGGTTCCAGAGGCCCTGTATAACACCCGAGAGTAGAGAGCCACAACCGACTGGAAGAATTATAACGTCAGGTTGGGTTTGGAATTCCTCCACGATGCTTTCATACCCGCAAGCAATTTCCGGTGTGTCGTAAGGATGGATAAGCCGCACCGGGGATTCGACTGTGTTGTTAATCTGGTGAAAATGCTGGTTCGCATCGGATACCATCTGCTCGGCTCGATGTGCAGCCTCTGCGAAAGAGAGCCCGGAAAAGACCAATTTCGCCAAAGGAGCCTCAATGGTTAGTCGCTTCTTAATGTTATTGTCTTTTGTGTCGGTTGTTACGACTGTGCAGGCCATGTTGTAGCTCTGCGCTGCAAAGGCGGCCGCTACGCCAGCATTAGCTGTGCTGGGGCAAACGATATGCTGAACACCGTGCGCAGCAAGCTAAAATCCAAATAACCAAAGTCAATATACGTTAAAATCAAGATAAAATTACTCCGAACAGTAAATAATCACTACACAAGCGAAACGGATGGCTATCACAATAACCAAAGCAGCTAGGATATACTAGCCAAGATGGCTCAAGAAGTTAACAAGTACACTTTTATTGACTATACCTTTCTGCACACCAACTCCATTCCACGTAGGACGACAGATCCTGTAGGCTGCAGATTCTCCAACTTCAATTCCACAACTCCACGACCACCACTTTGAACTAACGCATAGGACATTTGTGGACTGGCGATGAGCGGTGTATTGATCGCAACTTTTCGCAACGATGAAGGCTCTGGTTGACGTAATGAACGGAATGTATCAGGAAGCGAAATAGCAGATGCAGGCCAGCAAGGATTGTCCGTTTTGTTACCAATGGTAACCGAGGGTTTGTCGAAAAAATTTTCCTGTTGCGTAAAACGATCAAATGTCCCACGCGTCGGGCCACTGGCAGTGGGTGCGTCGAATATGTCAGTGTAGTCCACACTGTCATTCAAATTCGGGAACCCAATGGCTAAAAATAACATCAAAGCCCGTTAACAGATGGTTCTAACATGTGTGTACTCAATTATACGGCTATTTATTTTACCTTTAGTACGTATTATTGGACGTGGCTGAAGAAGGGAGTTGCTGGACACCAACGGCATATTCTCATTTGTCTCACCGCTTTCAAGGATACGAAGAGGCTGCATTTTTTGCGATCCGACGTTAAGACCGAGGGATGATATCTTTTCGGGAAGAGCGTTCTGTAAACTCGAAACTGAACGAGAAACACTCGAAAGACCACCAACTTCTGAATCTGAAATGGTTAATGACCAACCAAAATCTTACTTTGCCGAGAATTAAGCAAAAACATGGCACAAGTTTCCCTGCTGACTGGCCCAAGTATGCGTAAAGTTAACGGCCCGGTGCTATCTGGTAGTTGAAGGCCGTGAAGTCTCGAAACGGCGGATTCACAGCTAATGGTTTTAAATTAAAAGAAATTGGCGTACCTCAATCTGTCTTCAAATAAAATAGACACTGTCGTGCCCTTCGTTTGCGCACGACTACTGAAGATGGCGTCTTGGACATTACAACTAATATCGGACAATGCACTGCCAGAGGGCTGTGCAGACTTCTGGAACTCCGACTGACTGATGAATCTGACCGAAAGTATACTTCCAAAATGGCTGAAAAGGCGCTAAAGAAAATGACGAAAAAAGAAAGCCGTACCATAATTTCGCTTTCAGCAATATCCGGTGGCAAACACGAAACAATTAATTCCCAACCTATAATATTGTCAGATACATCACTTGGTAATCCACTCAAATCGACGGGTGTACGCTGGCCAGGCAAAAATCTCCTGCCGCCTGAACTCGCATATGCCACGCGAAGGCGTTTACCCTCGGTCTCATAACCGTGGTAAGTTTGAATAGCTAACGCGGCATGCTGAGAACAAATGTAGTCAACAAAACCATAGCAGAGGCTAGCTCCTGTATTCTACAACAACCATTTGAGATAGGGATAATGATTACCTTATCGCGAATTAACTTGCACTGGCGAATTGGTCCAAGCCTCTCGAACAGACGCTGCAGATCGCTCTGATCATAGCTTTGTGGCAGGTAATTAATAATAAGATTAGTCCGTGAGCGATCTTCAGGGCTGTTTACGACCGTGGGCTGGTTCAACCAATTCGTCGGTAGACATAATGACTTAAACACGTGGTTGATTTCTTGGTTGGCATGACCAGTAGAATCTGACGATGCGAAGGCAGACTGACTTTCGGTCTGGGATGCAAACAATCCTGACAACTGGGTCGACGGAAGACTCCCAGGCAACATGACACGACGGACACAAACAACACGCCAATCCTAACGATTCAAAAGGACTCGTGATTCAAACCTTTTAAACAATACACTTAAACAACGAAAACAAAGAAAATATATTTCTTAATATTACTGCATTTTTATCTTTCCACTCACATTCTAAAATTGTTTAAAGTTAAATAAATTTGTAAAAAAGTAAATGCATTCAAGTTTAAGGTTAACGTAATTGGAAAAAAATGCTTTGGCAAAGTTTGTTGATAAGCTGCATTTGCAGACATCTTGTCTTTTTTTCAGGATTTTGTAATATGAGCATAATTGCCGTTTATTGTTGAGTTCAATTTCTAAATCTAAAAGGATGTACAATTCCATTAAGTAAATAGTTGATCATTAGAAACATGAGGCTAAAAAATACTTTCAATCTATTGACATTAATGAAGTGGCTGTGTTTATCTTTGCTGATGACGTAGTATTTGTTTTTGCTGGTTATAATGGTGCTTATTCATTTGCAGGATTAACGACGCTAACAGCCACTTATTGTTTCTTCCTTTATATACAAATGTAATTCTTTGTACTTATGTGGTCTAAATGTAAAGGCCTGCATCCTTTCGCGTCGAAATCATCCATTATCTTAATTTAATTAATTATCACTGACATTCGGTTCTTTTTTGGCCAAAATTTTCATAATTTGCAATTAGTCAAATGGAAATGGGTTTCGATGCTCGAAGAGGAAAACTGTCATGTCTGATTATAAGTATACCTTCAAGGAAATTGCAGTTTTTAATAATAGTGTACAGCCTTTATTGATCCAACCTCCAGTCATCGCACACTAGGGACCAAACCGGTGCATAATCATTCATTTTAAAATACTTAACTTATGATAATACTTTTAACCAGACATTCTCATGTCCTTTTAAATACTTTTAATGTAATATAATGCAATTTTTTTCTGCAAAATAACAGTTTAATTGGAAGATCTGATGCTGTAGAGCTGGTTTAGTTTTTTCTCTTTTCCAAAGATCTCATTAAGATAACAAATGCTTCTTAAGCGGTTTTTTAATGACAAACACTATGTCACATGGATTTTGTGTGAAATTTTAGCAGAATGCTTACCAATTTCTTAGACCGATAAAAGTTGTTTGTTAGCCTAATAGGCTGTGCTCGCTTTAAATTCTTCTCTTAAGCTTTTTACGCTTATTTCTTCTACAGGGGTCAGATTTTGCTTATTTTAAGGCGATGTGGATTATTTATTTTGTCGAAGCATAGTGCTTCATTTGCTCTTTGTCACTGGGCTACGTGATCTGTACCTGTACAGTGCATACATCCCTTTAATAAACACAAATTATTTTCAATTTACCTTCACTTTGGATGGATTAGACATCTGCGCAATTTACCGACTGCATCAGCCTATTCTGCGGGTTATTTATATAGTTGACCACTATTAAAAAACTGAAATTCCAAATAGGTTATGTCAAAAAATCATTTGTTTATAAATCTTCTATATTAGCATTCAACCAGTATTCCTACGAAATGGAAAAATCTTGATTATTTCGTGATATTGATAATTGCAACCCTGGTAATGCACATATAAGAAGCAGGTTCATGCGATTGATACCTGCATTGATACTGCAACATTTTAGACCGTGAACCATTTAATCTTTGGTAAACGATTGACCGCATCCACAAATCAACGCTATCGGCCATAAATGGACATGTATACTGAACCTGTGACTGAAGTAACGAGCCCAAACAAATGTCTACCATTACCAATTCAATGAATCTTACCGTCATTTTTCCTTATTACCTCACAAACATGTTTCGTTTTATTTACTAAATGGGCTGCCTATGCACAGGATGGTGCATATTTCTATTATTTTAATTCTACCTACCTGGTATTCTTTCATCCAGGTACCTGGTATTCTTGCCCCGAATAACTTTGAAAAAAAAACAGTTATTTTCCGCTTTGATGGTATTCTTCAAGGCCCAAATTTGAAAGTAATGAAGACAATACGCAAGTAATAACGCAGCCTCCTTGGATGCATGAAGTTGGCTATGCTCACGATAGAATACGCAGAAGGTGGGATTTACTGAGAACAAAAAAGGATGTAGTTAAGATGGACTGGTCGGGGTGCTAGTTAAAATATGACACACATTGGAGGCGAAGTAACAGTAGATACAAGTTGGAGGTTATGTCCGGTGACGCGCGTTCGTCCAATCAGGATTCACCGTACGCCTTCTGAATTGACGGCTCTGTGGCCTTGAGATACGGCGATCTCTCGTCCACTGACCTCTCAAAAACCGATCCGGGAGTGTTGCCTACGTTATGCGCATAAACACAAAACACTTAAGCCCTGTTCTCGTTTAGTTTTTTGTCTACATGCCTAGTGCACAACAGAAGACACAAATCATCGCTACCAGGCAGGTGGAACTAGGTTTTTTTGACCACCAAAGCAAGGTCACAAGTTCCTTGCAACAAAAAAAAGAAGAGGCTAGACAAGCAAACAAAAGATTTGACAATGATTTACCTCCACACTGGTTCGCGCCGTCTGTAACGAAATCAGATTGGTCATTAAAGGAAGCGAGTTTAAATATGACCTCCACGTAGTATTACGGTGACTCGATTAGTCCCGACAGATCCTGGTTTCTGAGACAATCCATGACGGAACCCACCGCATCTGAACGTCGTCTGCGCGCAGCACAGTGGGGAAGGTTTATGAGTGCTCCGCTAAAATGCTTTTGCTATTTTTTCATTCCGTATGTAGCTATCCACATGGGAGGAACAATCTTGTGGAAGGCAACTATCGTAATAACGTTAAAACCCTCTGCTTAAGTCGTGCTATCGAGACGCTAGACACTCGATTGCCTCGGAAACCAGAATGAATCTGGATTTGTCCTGTCAGTCTAGCATCACATCCGATTTGATAGTGCGCATTTTCGCGTTTTTTTTAGTCACGTAGGAGAAAACAGGCCGTAGAGGGGTGTCACGTGAGCGAATCTCCCCGCGCATTACTGCCGACGAAAAAAAGTACGGACACACGGAGCATTCTTACCACCCATCTCAGATTGCGGTAGTTGTTGCTGGAGAATTCGGTAGGATTTGGGCTGCACATTCTTGAACTTGGGTCCGCCCTGACGCCACAGGTGTTCTTCCACAATCTCGGAACGCTCTTCGGGATTGCCCTGGGCCGCGGACGTGGCTGCTTGTTCTGCCGCCAGCATCTTCATGCTCATGTTATAATTGGCAATGTTGAATGCGTGTCTTAAATAGGAAGAGGAAGGGGTAGATGTGTGTAAAACTGTTTCTTTTTTTCATGCCTGTTATTTGCTCTTATCCATACACTGTATAAACCTGCTTTTTTGGTTCCTTATACTGGATTTGAGACATATCATCGACATCAAATCGAGATCGATAATTTTAGCCGAACTCTAGACTTCCTGCTTTCTGATTGGTCATTCATCGGAGGAATCTGCTTAATCACTATTAGGTAAGCATGTTAAAAACTGCGTGCAAAATGGTTGATTCGATTAAATTACTTGAGAACGGTGAAGTCAAGATCGCTACCGGCACGAAGGAGCTCAGCTTTCACCTGGCTGTGGGACATTCCAGAGAGTGGGGTTTTACAAATCTTCACGATAACGTCACCAGGTTGAAGGCCGACTCTGTCGGCAATGCCATTTCGAGTAATCTAAAATTTACACACTTAAAATTAAAATTTTAAAAAATTTCCGACTTCCGGCAGGCAACCGGTTTGCTTGCATTATACAAACAACGCTGCTTAAAGTCGAAATTCCCGCAAAATTTAAGTCTGTTGAACTTCTACACGTTAGCCACACGCACCTGCTCCGTCCAGCTAGAAAAAATCAATAGATATCGATTTTGCACAGAATTGGCGTTTTGAGTGGCGCGAATTTGTAACGGGACTCGCGTTAAATTGATGAAATTACTTATTTTTAATTGAAAAAAACGGCAAATTTAATTTCCAGACCACAAAACCTATCCAAGTCTTTTGCAACCAAAGGAAGTCCTGCTGTGTGGGTCGATTTTGTCGAAGCTATGAATCTTGATCTTGTGAATTTGAAATTTTTAAACTACGAAACAGTCGCGTATGCGACACCAGTTGCTCCCTCGACGTCAATAGACATTTCAAGAGCAAGCTTGCCTCCACTTAAATTGGACAAATTAGACACCAACTCTGTGGCAATTATCGCTGAGCTTCAGGAGTGATGAACCGCTGTGGATGTCGTTGAATTATCTACTTGATTAAAGAGTTAAGCTGTCCACATCGGCGTCAAATAGCGCCACAATGAACACTTAAGAAAACACAGAAACCACGAAAACAGTTGCATGCATAAACTCTAATTTACATGAATTTACGACCAGACGTGAGATTAATTACATTCCGAGTGAAAATGCAAAAAAACAGCGACATGTTTGCTTAGAACGGCCCGTTTGAACCTCGCGCAAAAATAGTAAATTTAACTGAGATATTTTTATTAATTATTTGGTTCGCGTGATAATCATCACTCTAAATTTGATTTATGGTTTACCGTTTTGTGAATGTTGTATTCATAACTTCGGTTCTAAAAATTAATCTTCAATATCAAATTGTGCGCTGTGGGGTTAAATATCCACAGATTCCACTTTACCCAATCAGCTTAAAGAGGGGAAGTAGGTGCATGACCGAACGCTATTTTTTTCACATTTTTGAAGATTTTGAAAGTTTTCGTTTCAGACAATTTTTTTTGTGAGGGCCCTCATTAAACGAGTAAATTAACTACCAACCTAAGTTGAGCAAATTTAGGCCACCTGACAGTGAGTATTAACCAAAAGGAATCGACACACCTTGTGGACAAAGACGGGAAGGCCTTGATCGGCTCCACCTTGCAACACGAAGCCCCAGGATTTATCAGAAGAGGGGCGTCGAAGTTGGTAGACAACGGGCTCGGTCGACATAATCCAAGCGTTTGGAGGGAAATTTACACTCGCGCAATGAAATCCTTGCTTTCGCCCTAACTAAGGTCAATGCCTACCGTGTGTGTGGATGAACGCGAAACCAACGAAGCTGAGCCAATGGCGTGCATCTTGCCCTTGCACACGCGTCGCCATTGGCTCACGGATTCGGGTGCATCAGTACCACTGGTGTGTATTGCGTGAACGTTCGCCACAGTTACTAGAAAATCGATGAACTTTGCTGTATCTACTGCTTGTGTGTGCGTGTGTACAAACATCCTAATTACAACAGGCGGAACTTTCGAATTTTAAATGTTCTAAATTGTTGGCAAATTTCATCTCGATCATTTTGCCTTTGGTTCTTGTTAGGTGCAAAACAATTCTGCAGAGTTCGTAGCGTTACCCTAGACAAAAGTCGTCATCGGCCTGTCAGGCCCACAACATCGGTACAAGAAAATCATCTTCCCTTTACCGTAGAGAATAATTGCATCGTCTGTCGAAAATACGGTTTTGATTAATGTACACTTAGCTGTTCGTTAGACGCTAGTTTAAACGAACAAGAGGGCTTAGCAACTAAACCCTATATTATATAGGGCTAACAACCTATTTACTAGAATTCGACCACTTGTCACCATTTAAATCCACAAAAATTTACCCATTTTGGGAGGAACGTAATTAGATTAATGACTTTCTACTAGCTACATTTTATGGTAAGAGAATTGAGAGTAGAACATTGACGCCATTGGCTCGCGTTATCGATCGATACATCCATGGATCTGTAATTTGTGTTTCAATTTTTTTCACGTCCCAAGCGTGATATACGCTTTCCACCACTGGGAGTGAATAAACGATAAATACTTTTTAGCGTTAGTAAAGTTGACCAAATATTGTTACTCTCTGAATCTATTGGCTTTGTCTTAATGTAAGTAATTTTTTAAAATAAAAGTATATTTTTGATCCCCTGAAATACTTCGAAATTACTGCTCCACATTTGAGGTCATTAAGTGAGTTAATTTATGAGACTGACTTGGGGAAGCGGAAAGGGATATGACAGGAGCGGGGAATAAAGTCGGTTATAGGGTTATCCAGTTAGTCGCTGAAGCGAAGTCACGATATTTTAACTGCTTTAAGTCTTCTTGGTTCGAGAAACGTGCGACAAGATTTTGCTGAATATTCAAATGAAATTTGCTGTAACTCATCTTTGTCATTTTGGCAGAGGTTAAAGCTCAAATGATTGGTCAAAATTACCCAAGTTTTCATTTACGTCTTCTCTGTATTTAAGCCGGAAATTAATATGGGGAAAACAGGTGCAGAAGCCCCCGAAAATCAATACATTCGGCGACAAATTGCAGCAGACTCAACAATTTTATTGTTCTCTAGTGAGAACACGATTGTCTCACGATTGGTCCGATTACGAAAAATCAATAATCAGGTTTAATTCACAGTCAACTCGCGGCCAATAAAAGGCAAGCATGAGTATCGTTTAAAATCGATCGTCAAAGCGAGCAAATAACACTGGATTTTAACGTGGCAATCGATGGCCAATACGGGCGAAAGAGCCTGGTCGGGACTCATAAATGGTTGATGTGATAATCTACTGACAAACAGTCGAATGACTCATGCTAGACAGGTGAATATTCCCACACCACACGCTGCCACAAGTGCAGGTCTAACCCCCGGATAAGCTGAGTGACTATTTTCCTCGGCTTTTTTAAATCACACGCGGCAACAAAATTCGACCAGTTTTCTTCTACCCTTGAAAAGTATCAATTTCAGTGTTTTTTTAGTCCTGGACTATATCAAATTTCGTCTCAGTGTACTAGCCAATCCAAATATCTCATTTTTGGTAATGTGCCTCAAAACGTGATCTTTCATTGGGTAATAAAAGTGCATCGATCACCTAAGTAAAATATTTGATTTCTGGGCTTTTCTGGCAATTAACTACTGGCCAATCAATTAATTGAGCCTCAAATCCAAAAAAGCTTGGTTATGCTAAAATTTGGAAATTTCAGCAAAATGACTGTCGCCATTTCTTTTTTCGGAACCAGTTATCGTGCTTTTGCATCAATAAATAATGTCCGAAATGCATTTGAAAATCAGTTTTTAGTATTATATTTTTCAATAATTTGAAGGAAATCTTGCTCAATTGCAGGCACTTTAAATTAGCCCAATGCAGCATCTGGAGATATTTTACCTCCTGAGAACTTACTTCAATATCATTGAGGTGAATTTTACGAAATGTTTTTCAAATTTTTTTTCGAAATAAGTTGAATTAATCCAACTTTCGCCTCTCCGTATGCAGAATTCCATTCGTTCGAGTAAAATTTTCAAGCGAAATGTGAGATCTAACAGAACATAAATATAAATTGATTTTTTTACCTATTCGTTATGATTTTTGAAAGTGAAAATAAGGGCGAAGAATTGAATTCTGTGGTCGGATTTTCTCACCATGTCTTTAAATAATGCTATTCGATCTTTCAATTATAATATTTTCTACCATCTGATTGGTTGAAAGTTTACTCCAGTCTTCGGAGCATATTTATTAAGAGATTTGTAACATTTTACTTTCGATGACAAAAGGGGCAAATATTTGTAAAGTATTAATTGAACACTAACAAATTAAGTTTTCAGAAATGTTGAAAACGACGAATGTGTTGATTTTGTTTCCTGTAAATTGATTGGCTGCAGGCACACTCAAGGTCATTGTAGTGATTTGTCCGATTGCTTTAGTTACTGAAACCTTTAAATAGCCTCTCCCAATTTTTTTATAAGACGGTAATTACTGTCCGAATTTCAGAGCCGTTTTATTAAAAATTGGACTTGAAACGACATTAGTAGTTCAAATTTGTAAACTGCAAATTAAATATCGACAAAATGTGTTTCTAAAAATTTAGACAATGATACATCAACTGGAATTATGTTCTCGTTAGTTCATTGGCTGCGAGCGCGCTCTTGCTGATTGTAGTGACTTGTGTAGATCTTATGTGATTGGCTTTTGGTGTGAGCAGACATTTGTAAATTTTGTATACGGTGAGTTTGAAACACCGAAAAAACTTTATCAGACGCACCTGGTCTAAGGCTGTTTGGTGTAATTTGAAGAGATACCGCTTGCAAATACCACGATTTCTAGGGTTTCATGATTAGCAACGCCTTCATCGTGCGCTCACCAAAAACCAGATTATGGGAAATCATATTTTAGAAATGCTTCAAATCAGGTTATTTGAACGGATCCTTATCCTTGGATCTGCACCATTTGTCACTAATCACCTTGGGCGTGCCTGTAGCCAGTAAATGTTCAGGAAACAATTTCAATTACTTATCTTTCATTACTTTCCTCAAAATTAACTTCCTTCAGTAAAAATTTAGTATTTTGAGTGACTGTTCAGCTCGAGGGATGTAAATTGTTCCGCGGTGGATGGGATTTTTAAAAAAAGTTAATCCTCTTTTTGATTGGTCACTCTCAAGGTCAGCCGAACTTCCGGCAATTTTAGCGTTATGCATGCTGCCGCACATTCGAAGACAATTTTAATTCAATCGATAAATTATTATGGGAAGCACAAAAGCACCGTACTTGCATTTCTCTTTAAAAGGAGATTTTATTTTTATTCGGCCTTGAATTTGCTGTTTTCTTTCAAAATTTCGCACTTCATTTCCATACAAATGTGCTCACCTTGTGTGCGCCGTGTGCAAAATGAAAATTTGTTCATGAAAGTTGGTGTGGTACAACGACACACCGGCACTCAATGCAATGATCGAATTGTCAATCGTCAATATTTCTTTACAAATATTCTGTGTACGGCGGGATGGTCAGCAACATGAAAAGTAGAAAACCTTGAGACGTGTTCAATTATTAAGTCAACGCTTATTGCTATGGTAACTAGCTTTAGGTTGGGACTGTTAGTGCCAAGTCGTGGAGTGATATTTTTGTGTGGAATCAATAGGCGTCCACATTAGGCGTAATGGCACTGCTATTGTAAAAGTACTTTTGACATTTTAAATTGCGCATTTATACTTTTGCCTGGGTTTTTTAAGACTGTTTTTATCGATTAAAAAGCTAAGTTCCAAAAATCAGTGCTCAGGACGTTGAGTCATAATGCTGTGTTTAAATCCTCCAATGAGGCGTCCTCTACGACTTGATATCCAAATGGACCAATCATGAGTCTCTTAAATCCCCAGTCGCAATAATTTAGCTCTCACCAGGTTGAACGCACTACTGTTGCATCCTGCGATAGCCTACCAACAGAGACGTATGCTGAACGATTATGTGAATATAACGGTGCAAAATTCCCAGGTTAAAACCCCGTGGCGGTAAATACCAAGCATGAAATCTCGCGGTTTGCCCTGCTACCGGGTGAACGCGCCAGGCTCCTACCGGAATCGTCGCCACCCACACTAAACTTCAGCGATTGGTACACGCGCATACGCAACGATAAAACACGTAACCGCTGGCAAGAATTACCTAACAGGCGATCTGCGCATGCGCCTAGCGGCAATCAGTGAACGAAGCTCATGTCGCGGAAACTCGTTATCGTGGGTGACGGCATGGTCGGGAAGACGGCGCTGCTGCAGGCCTTCGTCCACGGCAGCTTCCACGACAGTTACATTCCGACGGTGTTCGAGACAACCGCAATGGACGTCGAGTTGGCCGGTGGCAGAACCGTGACACTGGGCTTGTGGGACACCGGTGGCCAGGAGGAGTTCGATCAGATTCGTCAACTGGCCTACCCAGGCGCCCGAGTTATCCTCCTCTGCTACGCTATCGACTCGGAGACCAGTCTCCAGAACATCATCCACACGTGGAGCCTTGAGGTGCGCAAATTCTGTCCCAATGTCCCACTCATCTTGGTTGGATGCAAGTCGGATTTGAGGTCGCGTCTGAGCCCTAGGGCTCAGGTGGACCCGCGGTTCGCCGTCGAGGTGCAGAAGAGTGTTGGCGCGTTGATGCACATTGAGTGCTCAGCAAAGACCCAGTCGAATGTGATCACCGTGTTCCACGCTGCCGCCAACGCAACAACCCTCGACGACAATCCGACGCCCCTGGGCACCAAGAAATCCAACAGAGAACCACGGAGACATCAGTTCTGTGCTCTACTCTAACTTGCAGTCCCACATCATTTCAACGGCTACTTGACAAATTAATTTGTAACTATGCTGTCAACTGTAAAAAAGACGTTCGCATGAAGTTTGCTTCGCTTTCACCCCACTACATTTTTGTTTTTCTGTGATATTTGGTCTTCTAAATATATTTTAAGTTAGGAACCAAGACGCTGACAGTGGATGTTAAACAAATAGACGGCTTTTTTTAACACGGATTATGAATTCCTCGTTACCGTGAAGCACAGTTGTCCAGTTAGCGCGAGGATCGTGGATAAAACTGCCCAGCTGACGTCACACGGTCACGTCTACCAGTTTCCACGCCTCTAATAAGGACAAATGCGGCGTTGTGGTTTATTGCCACTTCGAAAAACGCGGGCACTTGTTTAACATTACGACTGCACCCACTTCAACCCGAGGTTGTGGAGATTTAGTAGTAATTTGTAAACAGTTTGCCATTAATAACCTTAGGGGTCAACTTCTGTCCACTTGATTTGATGGTTTCCGATTTTGCTTAAATCAACGGCATATCATTTCAAACTATCCGCCCTGCCAAAAATGATGGTAGGTCCTGATTGGCTAATTTAACTAGGAATAACTCGAGGCGATATCAGCAGAAGCCAATCTTTTAGTATATTATTCTGTTATTTCAATAAATTTCAATGGCAATCAACCAACTTTCTCTGAACCTATAATGCTTTTCAAGGGGTCGATGTGTGCGTGTGTGAGGGGGTTTCGTTGACTGAAGTAATTGGTGTGTTGAGCCAAAAATTAGTCATTTGTCTTGATAATTGAAAGTTCTGGATTTGTCAACTCCATGAACACTTCATTAGAAAATCGAAGAATCCATACGGTTTACGAATCATATCCCAGTTGAATCTCGTTGTCTTCAGTACTGTCAAAATCATTGCAATCAAATGCATTGATTTAGTGGAAAATCAATATTCATTGCGATTTTAAAGCCAGCTTCAGACAGCGGAAAAAGCTGCTTTCCCCTTAAATGAAGCCTTAGTTTCGGATTTAAAAAAAACAAGACTAATTTGAAAATTATGTTTCATGCTGAAAATTACATTTAATTTAAAAATTCGGTGACTGGTTCCTCAACTTCTCAACACTTTAAAATGATTTAATTTAGTCTGTGACTACTACATAAACATACAAGATTGCACTGATTGCCTAAAATTAGTAAGAAATAAGTTTTACTTTTAAAATTTCGTTTGAATGATATTCTTCCTCAATGCTTAACTCAGAAACCACTGCTTATAATTGCTTGACTCCGAGATAACTAGAAACCTTTTACCCCAAAGTCGAAAACACGGGTCAAAATTAGTGGATGAATCATATTGGTTACGGTGGCCGAGACAAATTTTTTCCGTTCCTTCCTCTGGGTTATGCTGAAGGCGATTTCTTGTACAAAATCCAAGCCTTTTGGCCTATTTTTTAGTGAATTTTTAGTGAAATCAACTGTCACAAGGCACTGAAGATCGATCTGACTCAATTCAACTAAATCTCTGTACCATTTGCTAGTAATTTCTGAAATTGGTCAACATTTCTGTTTTGAGCCAATCAGAAGCCTTCGCTAACAACACCTGAGTATCGATCGTCAGGCTGTAGAGATTGCCTTGAAGATTCCGCGTAAAAAATCGATAACAAACATTGTTTAGCGTGCATTATTTTATCACCAAGACAAGTTCCAAAATTTTGCTGACGAAATCAAAAACAAAATAAAATAACCAGATATTGAAAAGATTTTCCATTGTTTGCCGTATAATTGCTGCACCCATTTATTTAAAGGGCCGAAATAATTTGTAGCGGCATGTTTTATGTGAGTTTTCAGATCCGCTAATGTTACTTTTTGCCACACACACACTCTGAATGTGTCCACCTCTATAAGTCAAGGATGACCTTGACCTGGTGGATGAAGGATGTCAATAAGGTCCCGTGGATGACTCACTCACTGACGTGACGTGGTTAGGGTAATCGTGTAAACAATGACGAAGTCCTAACCTGTGATGAGTCGTGATGGGGGATGCTGGATCGCCAACAGATAACGATAGAACTTTTTAAAACCAAAGAAATTTTAAAATTATTCTTGAGGTTTTTAATGCTGGAATTTGGGCCAATGACGTGATTAATAACAGCATTCTCGGTCCTGATTGGATAAAACGATTGTGTATTCTGATCGGAGCACCTGTCCTAATTTTATCTGACATCAGACTTCTCAGTTTTGACTCGCCCTTGTTAAAACCAAAACCCTGGTTGTGTAATCTAAATGTTCGTTAATTTATTCTTTTGTGGAAATTTTGGCTTTTTTCAAAATCGCATGCTATTTAAAGAGTACGTTTGGATTGCGTGGGCGAATAGTACGCGGACAGCCCACAAATTTACCATATTCCGTCAGCAACCCATTTTCTCACGGATTTACCATTGCATTTGGCAGGTATTGCAATGGAATATGCAGGCAGCCAATGGGAATTTCGCCATTCGAACGGCAATAATTTAATTAGGTACCCACGTTTAACCACAATGGATTTAGTGTTACGAGGGGGGAAAGCTGATGGCTTGTTGTGATTCATGCAGAATTGATTCGTCCAATGAAACGTTCCTAATTAACACGCACACAATTTGATTTGGCCGAGTCATCACCTAAGTACCAAATCAAGGTCAGACACGGTTAACGATTAGAGAATTTGAATTAGAAGGTAAAGCAACTCAGCTAAACAAATGAAAGCATTAATTTAGAGTTTTTAGTAAAACTTAAAGAATGAATATATGGGTCTTATGATGCATCTTTCAAAAATAATGGTAGCAAACTCAGATATCGGGGCAAATGTTTAAGCTTCGAAGATGTCAGTATTGAACAAAATCTATTCGATGATCCAGGAGAATTGCTCCAGCTGATTATCCTGTTAATTAAACCGGCGCGAAAATAGGTAACAAAGGACGATGTATTGGAAGATGATGTCGATGATGTCGTCTATCCAATCAAAATGGACTTCATTTTGTACAGCCATTGCAGAACAACTGAGCTACAGTATGAAGATGACCAATAACACAGAGCAGGCTTTATTGACCAATCGCAAGCCAGAACATCTCTTTAGGCGCCATTTAACTGAGTCAACGACGCTGCCTTCTCATGTGTGTTTGTCTCTGGTTGGCTGCATATCTTACACGCATGCCATTGGAACGCAGAGATGGAGGATTGGCTGGTAGTGAAAAACACCCACTGAGTCAGGATCTAGAGAAAGCAGTTTATAAGAGCAAATGTTTTCAATTTTCTCCTGTCATTATTAGTTTTAAAAAAAACGGGTTGCAAATTTCATAATCACACCTCAAATTTTAGTAGCTCAAAAACTCAAAATTCGCTTTAGCCAACCAATTTAATTTGGTCTTTGAACGTTGCCATGACGTCAATGGTATTTTGCACATCAGTAAATCGTGATTTCGATGGTAAGAGCTAGAAAAAAATATGAGGTCTCGGGATTCTAGTTTAGTCGCTCAGGAATCAATCAATTAATCAAACCTAAAATTTGTGGGAAGGTATAATAATAAATCCGAACAACGCTAAATTTGAGAAAAGCAGTTCCAATTTTCGCATTGATTACTAAATTTAGATCAATAACAACGTACTACTGCTTCCTATTAAGTACGTGGGTTGCACGGCAAGTTATCGTGAACGTGCCTAACTGTCGGCAGAAATGACTTCGAAATTTTCTTACAATTGAAACCACTTGGCAAAAGGTTGAGTGGCAAGCGAAGCAAAGATACATTATGAAACCGGTACAAAAATTCCATTCATTGTATGTGTGATTTATCATCTTTAGGCATTAAAATAACAAAACGTACAGTTTTCATTTGCGCATAGAGGTATTATCAACTGAACAGAATATAACTTTTAACGAAATTATTCCTTAAATTTTAAAAGCAAAAACAATAAGCAAAGATACTTTTGCAAGTGCCCATACAGCTATGAAATTCAACAATCGCATTTGGTATCATAGCTATCTCATGGGGTAGTAGATTGCAGAAGTCAAGAAATGTGTTATAGTTATCAATCGTTTAATTTCGACCGGAATTCTAATTTCAGTGGTATGGGGAAACATCTTATAAATGCTTATGAGAAAATGATTGTTTAATTCTGCAAAAGAGATTTACCTTTTCCTGGCATAGCACGAAGCGTGGAAATCTGTAGAAGTGAAAAACTTTACAGAGAAAAAATTTGCAAAAAATTTTAAAGTCAAGTGATTAGGTGAAACTTTTTTTCGTAGTTATTTATAGAATGATAGTCGATATGATGATGACCTCCATATTTTGATCATATCCATGTCACTTAATATATACCAACCCGACGAGTCAAAACGGGAAGAATTGGTTTGCATCCCAAACGTGAGTAAAGAACGTCATGAAAATCGAGTTAAATTTCAGATAACTCAAATTGGAACAAAAATAAGTAGGAATTCTGTAATTGTTTATTATAAAGTACCCAATAAATTGTGAATGATTAACAGATCTTTAATTTATTAAATTATGACTTTAGAAAACTATCGAAAGCGTGCAAACACTTTTAAATTCAAACAAAATCGTGGAATATACAGCATGATTGATTTTGACAAATAAGTGGTTAGCAAATAGGAGATCCAAAATAAAACACCAAGGTAACCTGTAGACAACAATAAAATACTAGAACGCACAAAAGGAGATAGAATGTGTCAAACAAATCGTGTATACAAACTTTGCTTCTTGCAATAAGGCCTCACTCAAGCACTTAAATGCTTCCTAATACAGCATTACTGCTACGTATTATAGAAAATCATTAAGATAGGACCTACGGCAATTTTTTTTAAAAAATTCATTTCTGCATAAAGAATTTACGGGTGTTTATAGAAACTGATTGAAAAATCGTTGGTGACTAGTTAAAACTCAATTTTTATAAAACTTTGTGCGTATATTAATTACATTACTAATATTTATGTTAATTGTCATTTTAAACGTTAGTATATGTGGGAAAAGTGATGTTAAACAATTCAAGGCCATTTGATTTTTCTAACCATCGGTTTGCTTCCCGCAAAGTTTGACGGCGTTGGTTTCGTCGGATGTTGGATGTCGCCTTAGCCGTGATATCTGGCGCTTTGGCCGCTTCAGTTGCAGCTTGGAGTAAAGCAACGCAGCAACAGCAAATTAGCTTATCCTTCTTGAATAATCGAATATTAGGGAATGCTGAATTCATCGTTCACTATGGATTCTATGTGTGTGGTAATATCTTAATGTGGCTTACCTTCGTGATGGCGTTGAAAAAAAGTTCTAATGTTGTCACTGTTGTGATATTGAACAGCGTATGCAATTTGCTTCTCCTTGCACGTGGTGTTTATTTTACTAATATTTCCGTCTTAAGGCGTTTTTTGGGTATTTATTTTTCGGTGAATCAATATCTCCTACATGGTCCATTGGATTCCTCTTCCTAATTTTGGGATGTTGTCTTCTGAGTGCACCCAAAAGCGCCACTGTAAATAGTTGAGCAGGTATTTTGTCGCAATTCTTAGTAATCTTTTATATCATTTTTTAGATCTTGGGATTCCATATTTGTTGACTTTATTTTGTACGAATTGTTATATTTTATTGAGTAAAAAAATTCGGTTCAAACGCTTGCTTTAAATGCGTATTTGTCGTGATAACCTCGAGTGACTAAGTGGAAGCCAAATTTGTACTCTAAAAAAATGCCCAAATAACTTTCAAGATTAAATATTTGCTGAGCTATCTGGTCCCTTGAACTAAAACCGTCTAGCGTCGATTCTGTATCCTTTCAAGTTTGTGTAATTGGCGAATTTGCTCACAATACTTTGTTTGGTTTTGATTGCGTAGTATTGAACTTTAAACCTTGCTCTTAGATCAACTTCCACCGTAAATTACTTCCCCGATTCTTTTCTTTTCCTTGCTACAACACTGAAATTTTGATATCTCACTCAGACAGAGGTCCGCAAGGTTTTTGATGATATCCATTGACGTGTACTTAAAAAAAGTCAATAGCCGCTCTGATAATGCCCTTCTCGTCACTACATACACTTTTTCGACTAGATGACTTAGTCGGAAAGTGTCTTGGCGTCTAATGGGTCAAACCCTGTTTTTCCAATCTCCCATGACTTTTGTTAGCTATGTCGAGTTTACTAACGCTTCCTTATTTCACTCACCAGTTCATTTAAACACATCGGAGCAATTAAAAGTTCCTGCAGTGTTCACTGTCATCACCTAGTTCGTTGCCTCAAAATATTTTCCTGATTTTTTTTCAGTTCTCCATGCACTTCATGTTGATCCCTTGTGATAATGCATTAGATATACTTCTGAGGAAGTCGTATTGCTGATTTATTGGAGTGTGCAACTGGTGCGACAGATGTTGCTGTCTGTCTGACATTGATTTGTCCTTAAATGGTAATATTTGTGGTCAAGATTCGTCCTGCTAGTTTCAAACAGTCTCTGATTAAGTGGTCTGAGAAATCTGTTTTAAAAGGGGTCCTATTAGAAGGAACCGTATTTAAAATATTTCGTCGAAATTGCCATGAATAAGTCCTTAATGTCCTTTCTAAAATGTGCTTCTACTTCGCGTTGCATGTGGTAATGCCACGAATTTGTCTTCATGTCGTGGAACTCCACGATTACTCTGCAAACTCCGATTCAACTACCTAAGTCCTTTCAGTTTGCTGGATGTGCGCATCTGTGTTTAGATCAGCATAGCTCCTCTAGGGATCGAAAGCTTAGGAATCCTATTGGTTGATCGGGGTCTATATTTGATTGGCTCATGTCGTACGTTAAAAGATGATACCATGATTGTAGAAAAAATGGGTAAACGGTGGCCAGGAGTTTGCTCACGATACTCTGAGTATCTGGCCTCATTGATTTGTGTTGAGTTTTGCTGTGTTATGTTTTTCCTCTTCTCCAAAGCTTTCAGAGAATGTCAGTAGAAAAATAGAGCAGCTGTTCGACTCGGGATGAGGGGGGAGGGGAGATGGGCATCAATTGTTGGAAAACGCAAACGAAGAGAGGCGCTTCGCAGCGGTCTGCTTCGCATCTTCGAGAGGTCGTTTTTCCGGCCTGGCTTCACCTGACGCGTCCTTGGCATCAGACTGACCACCGGTTGCGTTTCTGCGTTTCAAAGGCTGTTTGAAATGCAAAAAAAGCAAGCGTACAGAAAACCCAAATGACAGAGACTGCGGTCAATGTTTGGCGCAACCTACCGCTGTATTGCTTGCTGTGGGACCGGCCTTGACCTTTAGTTTACTGCGCTGGCTGTCAGAAGGTGGAGGCAAGGTGTCGAGAACACGGCTGCCCCTGCCTCCGACAATTTTGGGTGCTCCAGCATCAGCGGTGGTGGTCTGCAAATGTGGCAGATAGGAGTGAGCCAATCACACCAACGTAACGGGGCATTAGTGCGCTGTGAGTGGCTTACGCGAAAAGGGTTGTGTCGACCGACCTGCGACGAGGAGCCCAATGAAGACTGCGTGGGTCCGGCGTAACTGTCGTCAAGATTCGACGAGGTGTCGGGAGCCGATGACATCGGGCGGTCGTCGCAACCACCTCCAGCAGCATCGCTGTCGTTGCCTCCTCCGTCGTCGTGGCCACCACCATCGTCGTCAGGCGCTGCTGGCGATCCATCGCCTCCGTCATCGCTGGCAAGGCAGAAAACATTCAGGTTAGAAACGGCCACAATAGCCACCACATCACAGAGAAAGTGGGACGAACCCTTCAGCTGGTCCAGATGCACCACCGTCGCCTTCACTGCGATTTTCCTTTCCATCAGCGTCGTCGTCGGTTTCCGGCGAGCTTTCGAGAACCTCGAATTCCACATTGTCCAAACGCAGGGCGATGTCTCCGAGACGTTTGGCGAGATGGTGGCGTCCGAGGCGCGCGGCGTAGCGAATGGCCAGTTGGACGGTCTTCAGATCGGGCATCAGATTGGCCACGGCGAGCGACGCCCATTCGCTATCCGACTTTATGGCGAGCTACAGTGAGGCGGAAGGGAGAGATCAATGTGCAGAGCGCATTTATACCGGCCGCTCAATTCTGATTGGCTCAAAACCGCCTTAACCGCTCTCAAGGTCACCCAAGTCACACACAATTGGTCGAAATGGAAAGTGCTAACTCTTGATTGATCAACGACAATCAGATATACCGAATAAGGCGATTAATTTGACGAGTGTCATTGTTTAAGACACCCAGTAAATTGCGATGAGTTTTTCATAGAAAGAACAACACAAACTAGTTTTTGTGATTTTGCACAAAAATCACGCAAACAAATTACTCTAAATCAGTGAACTTGAAATGAAACACAGGAAACTGTTGTAGCATGACCATGCCGCTGTTACGGCCACACTAAACAACGGTTAGCAGCTTATACGTGCCGCGATCGTTTCATTGGCCACCTCAAGGTCATGACTAAGTGAAAGATCTCCCCCATTGGAGCAATCTGACGTTTTCACACAAAACCAATTTTGATGAATTGGGAGGCGGAAATCGATATTACCGGAAAGTAGCCTTACCGCGAATAGGCGCAGAAGGACACGCTTTCGATCATTTAGACGATTGAAGCTGAGTTCTGCCAAGTGCCTTTTTTGTTCCCGATCCGTCGTAGTGCCCCAAAACGGGTTAGCTCCCAGTATCATTGTGCGCAAATAATTCTCCTGAAATGGGCAAGCACAAAGAGCACTAGACTTGCCGTGTACCCCTTTGAAAGCTGACATTGCATGAACCAACGCCACCTACTTCAAGATCAGCCTGATCCAACTCCAAGCCGCCACAAAGAGGGATGCGGAAGGGCAGCGTAGCGACCACTGGCCGAGGAATCGGACGTGGCCAACGCGACGCCTTGCAGTAGATCGCCTGGACCTGTCCGTAGCCGAAGGCGTCGTTCTTTATCCGCTGCATTCGGTCCGACTCGGCCTCGCCTCCCGCCCCCACGTCCTCCAATAGCGCAGCGGCAGACGACGTCGGGGCTATTGGATAGCGTACACTCTCAATCACCGCGACAACAAAGAGACAGTCGTTGCGGCGGTTGGCGGGCTTGACGAAGCGATGGGTGTCGCACACCGGCACCCAGTGAAAATCGATCGCACTGGCGCCTGGCGACCGATGATGCAGGAGACGTCGGACGACACCGGACGAATCGTTGGTGTAGAGGTTCCCAGTGTCGGAGAAGCCGAACCAGGTGAGTCGGGCGCTGGCGTTGGGGGTGAGGGGAGAGGGATTGGGCTCGGGGGACAGGGGCAGCGGGTAGAAGGTGGAGGTCAGTTGGCCAAACAGCCAGCCGCGAGAGCAACCGCCGCCGGGAGAGAGATCGAACACGCGCCAGTAGAGTTCCTCATCGCTCCACGCCACGACCACCGCTAGGATGGAGAGGAAGGGGTGGCTGGCCATTGTTACCACTTCACGACCGGGAAGACTTATTGGCGGTAGACCTAGGGACGTCGCCTAGCATGGGTGGATTAGCAATAAAGTCGAATTTAAGTTCACAAAACCAGAATATCGGCTGGTAAACTGTGGACGATGTGGCTCGGACTGCGTACCTGGAGGAGGCGGAGGGCATTGGTGTTGGCGGTAGCGGAGGGCGCGGGTTGGGCGAAAATTCGCAAAAGTCGCGACGACGTGGCCACCACGGCAAAGCCGCGACAGTAGGGATCAACACGGGTTGCCTCCCTGGATGCGTTGACCAAACAGATGGCACGAGTCGCCTCCCCCGGGGGCAGGCTTGTCAGCCAATCGAAGGAGCCACTGGAGGAGGCGTCGTCGCCGGCTGTGACGTCAATTGGTCGCACGAGGATTGTGCTCAGATCGCCGTAGTCAATGGACTTGCCATCGTCGAAGGCGTCAACATAGGAGACGTCACTTGTACCCTATGGGGTTGGAGATAGCACTAATCGATTTGAACACACGCTGAATAGCGATCCAATACAACCTTCAACGTGTCGTTAATACCGACGACTTAGAACCAATTACAACTGGAGCCAGTGACCTTGGAAACGTGGGATACGTACCGGTGTGGCGAGCATAAGAGCGGTAAGACTGAGGTCAGCCATAGTGAACTCCGCAGAGCCAATGTGGATGCTGTGGTGCAATGTGGTGTCGTGGAACTCCACCTCGATGCTTCCCGAGGAGGTTTTGGAGTCCGAATCCGTGAAACACGTCACCACACCGATCCGATTCCAGACCAGAAAGCGCTCACGGAACCCTAAAGACACCAAAAAGAAAGACATCCAAATCAGTTCCTCTATAATCGGGCAAATCAAAGACTGCGACACTCGGGGCAGGATCAATCGTACCAAGAGGCATCGATCCGGGCTGGAAGGGTTTGATCTCAGGACGAGCCACCAATCCAGGGGCTGGAGGCGCCGAACGGGACGTGTCGGCAGGTGTAGGCGTTGGGGTTGAGCTGGAGGCATCACTAGGAGCGTTGTCGTCGTCGTCGTCCTTGTCGATCGTCATGTAGGTTGACTTAATTTTGGATATGGCGATCGAGTTAGGATCGTCGTCATCGTCGTCTTCATCGCTGACGTCTTCCATCATTTTATTGTCCTCCGACGAAGCCGCTGCCTCTTCGGCTTGCGCGGAAGCAATAGCAAGAAGGTCCGTGAAATCGTCAGCATCTGTTGTGTCCATCAGAGATTTTATGGTGTTCGGTGACAGGGCACCGCCTTCCGCCATTTGCTAAAGATCAAAATGCACCAACTGTAGCCGAACCGGTGAAGGCTTTGCAGAAAACTGATGAAAAGACATTAACAAAAGCGTGTTAAGATGTCGGGTGTAGAAGTGCTGAAAAGAGCTGTTAATTAGACGTCTGTGGTGGACTGGACAGAGAAGTGGGAGTCAGGAGGTTCAAAATGAGCTGCATGAAAGTAAAGTCGTGATGCAAGGCGTTGGTGCATGCGACTGACAACAACTCTTAATTTCTGTCGTTGGTGGTAAAGCGAGGTGAGATTGACGATTTCCTGTCCACCGAAGAGATGTGAGAAGGTTCTTATCCGCTGGCTAATGGCCGGAATAAGGTCGAGTAGTTGTGTAGGAGTTTAGAGGGACGTTGTCGCGTCACCGGAATGAATGTGGTTCAAGAAAAACGAGCAATTTAAAGTTTCATCTTTCTGTTGAGGCGTAGAGCACAGATGATCGAGCCAGGGTTATCACTGTAGCAGCCCCGACGTGGTTCTTAAATCCTACCGAGGCCGATAATCCACAGGAAAAAAGATGGTACATAACACGGGAGTCGATCGACTTATTGCTATGGTTTTTAGCATGAAAAGATGTCAGTCAAAATAGGAACGCTGGACATCCGATCGCTGAATAAACATCACTACGTGAAGTGAATTCAAGATAATCAATGGAGGTCACATCGGCTCAGGCATGGTAAGAAATAAAAAAAATGTTTTCTGGTACAAACAAGCGCCAAAACAAACCTGGTCTGACGAAGGCAAATCCAGATCTACGAATCCGACAGCCCCGGATTTGTTGGAACAGTAAATGGTTGAGCGTTCAGGCCAAATCATGCGACATACGTTGGAAAAGGCGGAGTCATTAAATCTGAAATACAATTACAGACAATTATCCGTCAAGCAAGCTATGTCGAAACATGAAAGAATCTTTAAAGAAAAAGACTTACTTGCGTAGTACCCCACCATCACATGGTCGCCAGATCACAAGCCAGCCATCTTCGCTTAAACCAGCCAAGGTCTCATCTTCCACGGAAAATTCGCATTCTAGGAAGGCCTTTTTTACGCTAGCGCAACGAAGGCCGCGCAGAAAAGCCCAACTATTCCTTTCATACAACCTGATAACGTTTTCCACGGGGACAGCAAGAAACTATAACCATAAAGACCGATAAGGCGGCGCTTACTTCACCCCTAGATGGTTGCCACTTCAAACGGCAGCGGGTCGAAGCTAATTCTGGATCGCTGCACCTTCCCAAAAGTGATAGTACCTTAACTTCCGTCCCACCAACTAGCCGCCAGATTCGAATCGTTCCATCACAAGACGATGAAGCCGCGAAATTGTCTAGGGGATCAAAATCAACACTCAAAATGGGACCGGTGTGTCCCCTCAGGACAACTTCGTGAAATCCTCCGTACGGAATCATTAGGTCGACTACCTTGACTATAAAATCACTAAAACCAATAGTAAATGATGACTTCTCACCTGCTTCCAGCCAGTAATCGCGTTTTGTCCTTGTTAAGGGCCAAACAATTGACACCAGCCGAGAAACGGGTTGGAGTGCCTTCAACAAGACCATCAGTAATTTGTTGCAGGCTGACATGACCTGCTTCGGTAGCTACCAACACATACTCATCCTCATAAGAATGTCAATTCACTCGCTTAGAGCTTACTTTGCATACTATGTCATTGACCTTTTCCCCAAAATTGTGTTCAAGAGGACTAGCATCATGTTTACTTGAGTAAGTACGAATTTTTCCATCATTACCAGCCGACACAATCCGCCTATGCTCCTTTATAATGAAAAAAAAACGGTCCAACTTTTTAGAGAAATCAAAAGCAATAATAGTTCTTCCCAAATCATGACGATAGCCAAATCTTGTAAAGCAGCCAGACATTACCTCGGATAGTAAAAACTGTTTTTGAAGGTCAATTTAGGAATGTTTAAACAACGCAGAGGTAAAAATTTAACAGGATATCCATAACTTGCATGATTACAGAAAAAATTAAGTTTCTCACGTTTAAAAAACTGACTTCCTTGTTATTTTTTTCATACTATTTTCAATCACAACAAATAAATAAATCTGAATTTATTCTCTATTATATTTGACTTTGTCGTAATGTTTGTGGTGCTTTGTAGGTATCAGAACGGTTTATGCCTGTCTACCTACCAGCTTTGCCCCTACAAAACTTTCCAATTATAATATGCATATATAGTGCACGTTCTTCATTCAAATTACGATTGTTTAACTTTGCACCAAGTGTGTGTCCTTTGCCTTCTGTGTACGAAAAATAGCCAAAATATTTTGCAACTTCATCTTTAAATCTCCGTACAAAAGATATTGGCTCTTACTCAATTTCTTTGTTGTTTTACTCATTCACTTACAAATATATCTACAAAATGATCTGAGCCTCTGAAATTGCCCAACATTTATTAAACAGTTTAATTTATTGCAAAAATATGCGTTTTCAACCGTTATATTGTTTGGTTTCCCAAGAATTTGTTTTTATTTTAATGTATTTGATTCTTTTTTTATACAAAAGTTTCATATTCAAAAAAATTAGCCGGTTTACCTTTTGTTGGGCGTTGCGTTTGTGCCAACAATCAATACCCAAATGAGTCTAAAACATCAACTAACAGATTAAATGCAATAATCCAGTAAAAATTATCTTACAATGACTGAATTTACACTTTAAATGTGAAAAATGCTCACAATAATGCGGTTTTTTATTCCAACTTAATAATAATGCTATTAAGTTATGCATTTAACAAATTCTTCGTTTCTTTTGCATTGCCATAGACTGTCATTAAATTATCTATTCATATGCAATGACAAAAAACCTTGTAAATTGAGGTAAATGTCCAATTCACTGTTCTTTCATTTGCTAGCCTTGGAGTTCGCATTCAATTTTATTCACGATTGTCACGAGTATACAACCGAAAATCGCACTCACTTGCCTTGTTATCAAACAATAATTGATTGTTGTAAATTAAACCGTGTTGAAGATTATATTGTCACTTCTCGTGGTTGTTTAACGTTGATGGTCCCTGTAGAATTCCCAGGCCCTAGAATATGGAAGTCTGGCATAACAGAAAAGGCTTTATTTACCAATCACAGGCCAGAACCACACGTCATGTGTTGTTCATCCGATTCCACTAAGCTGACCAAGCAGCTTATTATATACCGCTTCTCATACGCGTCTGTTGGCTCCATATTTTCCTCTCATGCCATCGGAATGCAAAGAGGCAGAGGATTTGCTGTGGCCAATGTGGTACAATATATCATCGCTACTGTGGAATACCCGATCCCTAATAGCAAGAAGGATGGTACATCAACAACAGGCCTGATTAGCCAACCACAAACCAGATTTATTCGTCAGACGTCGACCATCCGTGTAAACCACGCAGGCTACTCCACTCATTATATGCTGCTCCTCATTTGTGTTTTTCTCTGATTCGCAGCATATCTTCCTCGCATGCAGTTGGATTGCAGCGATAGAGGATTAGCTGAGGCAAGCGTGATCCAATATGTCAGCACCATTATGCGCCAATGTAGAATACCCGAGCCCTAATAGGAAAAAGACTGGTACAACAGAACAGGCTTTATTGACCAATCAGAAGCCAGAGCCACACGTCAGGCACCTTCCATCCGAGTCCGCCACGCTTGCCACGCCGCGCATTAGATACTGCTCCTTAGTCATGTCCTTCTCTGGTTGGCTGCTTATCTTCCTCGCATGCCATTAGAAAGGAGAGGGACGCAGGATTGGCTGTGGCTAGGTGGTTCAATATGTCTGCGCCCTAATCCGACGCCATGTAGAATACCCAAGCCCTAATAGGAAAAAGACC